CATTGCTGTGAGCTTGTATTCACACAGAATATCAAGGCAGAGATCACAGAGCGGAACAAAGGTGTTCACCCACAGTAGCCAGGGAGCAGACAGTGAGCAAGGGTCCAGGGGAAAGATACAACCTTCAAAGTCACACCTCAATGACCTACCTCCTCCAACTAAGCCCCACCTACTAACAGCCCTCTGCTGTGAAGTCATTGACGAGTAATGAGTCCTTTCACAAGGTTAACCCCTCATGATCCAGTCACCCAACAGCACAGCAGCTGGGAACCAAGGTTTCAAAATATGCATCTTTTAGGCAGACAATTAACATTCAAACCATAAAGTAGTGCCTGAGCAGGCTCACGAACTAGTACAGAGAAGGGGACCAAGAGATGGAGAAAGGTAGACTGAAGAAGAGAGAGAAGAGGGGAAGCTGGTAAACCTTAGTGCAAAAGTTCCAACATAGCATGCTTAAGTTTCCAACCTTCTGTTGGAGTCTCTCCTTCCCTTAAAGAGGGTCTTAAGCAAAGGCCATTATCATGGTTGGAATGCAGTTAAGCCTGGGTGTAAGACACAGCCCCGGGCACAGCACTTTTTAAATTTTAGTATACTACCACACACCATGGGACTCCTGTTGAGGAGCAGGTAACTCAGACAGGCTGGTGTGGGCCTGAGATTCTGCATTTCCAACGAAGTCTAGACGACACCCGTGCCGTTGGCCCGTAGGCCACACTTTGAGCCGTGAGCTCCAGACACCTTGCCCTTTGGCTGAGGACACTGGGAAGCCTGCTGTCTCAGCACACTGCCTGCTGTGTTTCTCCTCACAGATGGTCAGAATGCCACGTGCGTGGAGCCCACCGAGCTGAAAGGGTGGCCCATCACCAAGGTGGGGAACCCACTCCAGTACAAGTGCATCACGCACCTGGACCAACAGGACTACATCTTCCTCCTGCTCGTCGGCTTCTGCATCTTCGCGGCCGGCACTGTGGCCGCCTGGCTCACAGGCGTGTGTGCTGTGCTGTACCAGAACGCTCACCGAAAGTCGGCCGGGGATGATACCGAAGATGAGACTGGGAGTAGGGTCGCCGGCCAGATTTTTCGAGGCAACACTTACTTCAGCCAGAATCGATTCCCTCAGCTGATCTAGCTGCCAGAGACCACTACCAATTGTGCCTTCCCTGCTCTGGCTCCCTGCTTTCTCACACACCCTCCCGTCTCACCACCACTGTCTTGGAGATTGAAGCCTCCCAGTAAAATAAATAAAATATTTGGTGGTCCTTTCTGAGGCCGGTCCCTTCCTGCTCCACCAGCCCACACACACTTCCTTAAGCTCAGCAGGATGGAGTAAAACAAAG